GATTATCCCAATTATAGCGGCTAAGCAGTAAAAGTGTTGCACAATTAAATGCAAGCAAAGGATGACAAGATCCTCAATTTTTTCCAAACCCTACGTTTCCAAATGATTCCAAATTTCAAGCTAAATTTTAATTTTACTTTTTCAAATATATAATAACATATATGCATGCATTTCAATGTATTAATTATTTTTATGCAGCAGTGAAGGTGAAAAAATTCATATGTCTAGTTCGTTCATTGTAATTCATTTCAGCCTCCCATTCTTGTATTAGTAAAGGGCTTAACAATTTCATGTTAATAAGAGTTCAATAAATTTGGAGATCTTGGAGAGCTTGGGGTAGGTTGCTGAACACTTTTTAATATTAACTCTCCAAGCCAATCAATCGTAATATTGATGATGATTTAAAATTTTACTTTTAATAGACATTTCAGCGATCATGAAACGATTTGTTGAAGTGTTGAGTGAACTTAAAATTGTGATACAGATACTGTGCTATACAAAGAATATGACTTTTAACATCGACGTGTCATAGCAATTAGGGTGGTGATTAACATCATTGTGTTAATTCAAATTCAATGAGATTAGAAAATTTCTGTTGTTTTTCTATATATCATCAGGAGGTGAGCATTTTGTCAATTTTATTCATTTTCATTACTTACAATTCAGAACAGCTGTCCGAATAATTTTTACAACATATTTAGTCAAAGGATAATGATTATAAAATAGGGAAAAAATACTAAACCTAAAAGCCACAATTACGCATTAAATTGATTATGTAACAAATTTGGGCTAACTTTGCTTATAAAATAGTTATGTCTTTATGAAAAAAACGGCAGATTTTGAAGAGAAATAGCAAATTTACTGATTTTACAGACAATGCTTAAAGTTGAATTTTTAAGGGAAAAATCAAAAGAAAAGGAGTGTTGCCATTGTAATGTCTTTTAAACGGCTATAAATCATTGCGTATATCCGTTATTGCAATCAGATTGGCTCAACTTGATCTTCACAACTACCTCTTCTTACGAAAACGTATTACATTTAAAGAAGGTTCTTCGCATTATAAAATTCCAGTTGTGAAGTTTCTACTTAAAAATTGTAAGTAAGAACTTACTCTGAACTTTGTGTTTTCGGCAAATTGACATACGGTCCCATGTTTCAAATAGTCATATGATTTATGAATAAGTCAACTTACTATTATATATTTTAAATAGAACTGAAATAATGAAATTATAAATTTTCCTTCTCTCATTTTTCTATCTCTCAAGTTAATTTCATTCCATTGTAGTCAACCAAAATCTTTATTTATTTATATCAAATGGCAGGCGTTTTGATGGTTATCATTAGGCCTTTCATTGAGTTCAGGCTTCACAGAGACGAAGGAACACCAAAGTGGAGAAAAGTCGAGATGAGAGGGGGGGAAAGAGTGTGGCCATTGTAGTTTGAAGTCAGAAGTCAACTGCCAGTTTATAGGCTTTTTTGCCGTATGAGTATACGTTGCCCAAGGCGCACCATGTGGAGATAAGTCAATCGCACACCCTTTAACTAAAACTTAATAGGTAATTAATTCTGAACTGCCTGAAGTTACTATGATTTAAGTTTTTTTTCAAAAAAAATCATTCCTTAATTCATGTCGATTGGAAAGACAAGATTCTGGTAGCGTTGTGCGAACAAGCTTTATTGATGTTTGATTAATTGAGAATATTCGTTTAAGAGATTCTTCAGGCAGACACCTTCCTCGCTCTTAAATTAAAAATGAAAATTTGATAACTGGAGCAAATAAATCAAGGCACTAAAATTCTGAACTAACGAATTGATTCAATTTTACATAATATTTAGACAACAGATTTGGAGGATATTCAACGATAGCCGCAAATTTTGCGTTCCCAAATGTCGAGAAATACAATTAAATTTCAAAATTTTAACAGTTTCAAAAGTTACAAGTAATTTACTTGCGTTTACTTATATAAAGCACAAGTTGTAGCAACTATCTGTAGCTAACGCTTGATAAAAAANTTGGAAGAATGTTAACTCAAACGCTGGTCTCTAGTGCAGGGAGGCTGATGAAACCTGACTGAGGAGAAAATATTCGATTGTATTGCCAAAGAAATCTGATTAGTCGTAAGTGGAAGTTGACTTCACTACTTCAAACAAAAATATTGTCATTTTAACATTGGAAATCGGGGGGTGTGCGAAGGGCTTACCCCACGTGGTGCACCCTGGGCAACGNGGGGGGGAAAGAGTGTGGCCATTGTAGTTTGAAGTCAGAAGTCAACTGCCAGTTTATAGGCTTTTTTGCCGTATGAGTATACGTTGCCCAAGGCGCACCATGTGGAGATAAGTCAATCGCACACCCTTTAACTAAAACTTAATAGGTAATTAATTCTGAACTGCCTGAAGTTACTATGATTTAAGTTTTTTTTCAAAAAAAATCATTCCTTAATTCATGTCGATTGGAAAGACAAGATTCTGGTAGCGTTGTGCGAACAAGCTTTATTGATGTTTGATTAATTGAGAATATTCGTTTAAGAGATTCTTCAGGCAGACACCTTCCTCGCTCTTAAATTAAAAATGAAAATTTGATAACTGGAGCAAATAAATCAAGGCACTAAAATTCTGAACTAACGAATTGATTCAATTTTACATAATATTTAGACAACAGATTTGGAGGATATTCAACGATAGCCGCAAATTTTGCGTTCCCAAATGTCGAGAAATACAATTAAATTTCAAAATTTTAACAGTTTCAAAAGTTACAAGTAATTTACTTGCGTTTACTTATATAAAGCACAAGTTGTAGCAACTATCTGTAGCTAACGCTTGATAAAAATTCATTTGATTAGAATTTAGTTGTCATCTGGTGTCGAAATTAAATTCGTCCTTTCCTGCAAGTTTTATATGGTCAATAATTTCAATGAGTTTTACATTATGGAGCAGAGTAATGGAGGACAGAAGGTATAATGAAAGCATAGAAACGTTTTTTTCAATTTATTGATTTATAGACTATTGAGGTTAGCTAAGTGGCCTATAATTAACTACCAGAATACCCCCTTAAGCTTAAGATAGTGGCCACTTAGCTCCCACAAGACTGTGAAGTGAGTTTTGCCTATTCGATAGAAAAAGAAATTTGAAGAAGATTGGAATTCGGTAATATTATCAATATATGTATGAAACTTTATGTTTATTTAGTATTCAGATTGTATGCTAATCTACAAACAGTAACTTAAGTCTATCTTAAATATCATTTTAAGCAGTTTTCAAAAGCCAACATTTTTTCCTTTATTAGCCTTTTAGCTACAAGCTATGAGGTGAATCCGATTGGCAAACTGCATTTAATAAAACACGGGTTTGATATATAAGGCACTTTTGAGAATGAGGAGTCAAAAAGGAAGACTCGTGACAGAATGGCTTTAGTCAATTTATTTAGCGTACAGATTCAAAAAGCGCACCAGATAAATGACAATATCAAACCTTACGAACAATCAGCTAGCATCCCTATCCTCAATTTGCTTTAATAAAACAAATTCATACCAATTCTGCCAATAGAAAAGAACGGCTTTCAATGGATTCCGCCTATGAATGGCATGGAAGGTGAAATAGGGCCAAATAAGTTTATTTTATATGCAGCATTGGCCCATTCTTGGCAAATCTTAACAGCTGAAATATCACTCTAGTTGAAATACGCAATTTTTATGTAATCATGACAGTTTGTTGGCAGTACAAGAGTTGACGCGATATTTGAAGAATTGGACAACTATGAACCAGGAATTGTCTACTTAAACCAATGTATTAACGTCAATTAGAGCTGTAGTTAAACAATTTTTTCTTTTCATTCTTTCTCAAATTTCCATGGTCTCACCCTCTTAACGCGTTTCTAATTTAAATCTTTCAAATCATTTGGTCGTGAGATTAGAGTTCTTAACCTTTCGTTTAAAGGACCATCACAGCCATACAATATGGCCATGTCTTGTACAAATAAGTGAATAAGTTTAAGTCCTATGGTTCTTAGTGAAGATATGCCGAAACGTGTCCTTCGTTGAGCTGCCAAATTGCAGGCGCTTAAAGGCCACTTCCGTAATGTTTGATAGCACTGACGGCTTTGGTATTTTCTGTACGATCCTGAATTGTTACAATGATTGAAAAATGAAATCAAAGCGAAGTTGGAGCTTGTAGCGGATTGCTACGCTAGTTAAAGCCAGACTGACTCGGAAATCTCTATGGCAGATTCTCCTACATCTAGCTAGACTCCCAGAACCAGCTAAGCTATAGCCCAGCCATGAAAGGAAACAGACGTGTAGCACGGAGCACGTTTATTCAGTATGGGTATTGCGGATAAAGTGTGCGCACGCAGGGAGCTACTCATGATCAGGATGGGGGATTAGGTTAAACAGAGGTTGATGATTGGTCACTGTTTGTACGGTCGCTGCACACAGAGTTGTGCGGTCGCACCTCCCAATCCTCGCGAGCAAACATGCAGGCATACGATGACG